GTGTCTCTTGCCCTTCCAGAGTCAGAAGCAATTCTTTCCTTCTCTTTAATGAGAGAGATTTTATGATCCCTGATCACTAATGAAGTAACTTTGTAGCTTTCAGTTATATTTCAGACATAGCTTCCCTGCTCCTCATTGTCAGCTTAGCCTCAAAACTTTTCTTCTGTGTTTTCAGGCTGTTCTCTTAAGGTGCCGGGGTTACAGTTCCACACACTGCCAAGCTTTTGCTGCTGCTTTTCACACTAGAAATCATTTCTCTCTCTTAACAGGGCTCTCAGTCTTGCACTCAGTATTTGAAACTGTTGCAGTGAATCTGCAGTTTACCCATTTAGAGTGGGTAAAGTTGCTCCCCTCCCCTGTGCCTCCTCCTCCTCTCCTGTGCAACGGGAGGTCAGCACATACAGAAGCGCTGTGAGCAATATGTGTAGAGGAACGGCCTATGCCTTAGTTAACAAGTGCTTGTTCAACCATGGCAAAGTTTTCATTCCATCCGTGATACTTGCTCAGCCACCGATGTCTCTCCTTAAACTCGCTGGTATCTGAGTACTTGCAGCAGGCTGTTTATAGGACAAAAATAAGAAAAGTTTGTCTGCTCGTTGTATGGTGCCATTAAATAGATTTTGTTGGGCTTTGATATGTCCACACTGGACGTAGGATGGCAGTGGCAATCCCCTTGGGGTTATTTTTTGTTGTTGAACAGCACCAGAGAAATGGAAACCAAACTGACCTTTGTGTTGATGAAAATACTAAATGGAAAGTATATGATCAGATTTCATCTGTTCAAAATGTAAACTTTTGTAGTCATGCCATACCTACTCAAACACAGTTTAGCTGTGTGCGTACTTAGGCATTTTTGCTGCAATCTACTGCCAATGCAGGTAAAAACCTGAATTTTTTCAGGGACAGGGGTTTTCTTTTGAGTCAGAAGCAAGTACTAACTAAACTTACAGGAGTGAGCAAAAGGCAGCAATGAATATGGAATATAAAGGTCCATGTGCCTCCCCTACCCATGAAATGAGTCCCCATATGAAAGATGATTCTAAGAAGATGTTTGGTCAGCAAAAGACTTAGTCTCTCCAGTGTCATTGCTCTCATTCTCTGGTTGGCTTGCGGTCTCTCTGTATTTCAGGCTGGCGAAGATACTTGTGATGTTGTAATACTACGGTATACGTAGTGTTATGCACTATTTATGGTGTTTTTATGAAAGGTGCTAATTTTTTACCAACTTCTATCTTACTTGGCTTTATTCTGCTGCCCATATTGATTTGATCCCGTTACATGTATCTCCTCATAACTAATTGTAATAAAAACTGACAGTAAGGGCTTTCAGATATAGTGTGGTTACTTATAAAACTAGTGTTTTGCTTTATTGCCAATCAAAGCACAGTCAGGAAGGTAAGAATTAGAATTTCACAGCGCTGGCAAATGATGGAATTGGGTGCTTTCATAAAGAATGAGCACTTCCCAGGTCTGGTCTGTCCATCTCTGCCACTTGAATGCTGCAATCTACTGCCAAACTAAACTAAAGCTTAGTGGGAAACTTAACAGTCATGCAATACAGACACCCACCAGCTTAATCTGTTGATTAAGGTTCCCAGAGTGAAATGTGGAACAGAAGGACTTGTTGTAGCAGGCTGGTTACAAGGGGCTGACCAAAAGGATTACTTCTTCTTCCAAGCTGACTTGTTGTCGTTTTGCCAAGCCTGTTCAGCTGGGCTGCTGCATTAACTCCTCTTCTTTCCTGGCACATGCTAGCACTGTGCAATGCCTGTCTTGTTTGTCTTCTTTTTTAATGAACATCTTTGAAACATGTTTGGATGATAACTGTCTATCTGGAATATGATGCTGACAACCTAAAATTTTTATTAACCTGGTTTGCCAAATGGGAATTAACTAAAGATGTGAAAGTATTTGCATAAATGAGACAAGCTTCTTAAAGGACCTGTCACACACAGAGTCTGGTCCTTAACAAATGTCATGGGACTGGCTTTGTGACAGCAGCAAGAACTAACCCCATGAATTGATCGTGCTGAGAAAGAGTTTATGTAGGAAATTGTTACTTAGTCATGTTTATAAAACCTGTGTCCTGTGCTTGGTGATGCTGAAGTTCTTGAATTCCTCCATGGACTTAATGGGAGTGGGAATACAAAGTCATGTGCCAGCTGGAAAGAGTTTTCCTTGTCCACTTTGAGATGTGTGGTGGCATGTTTTCAGAGGTGGGGTTTTTTCATTCAGTAAGTGTCTTAATTTCAATTAAATATAAGGAATATGTCTTCTGAGTACCTAAAAATAAGTGTTTTCAATTATAATGCAGTCCAGCAGTACAGTAATGTAAAAAATGTAAAAAATCCTGCTCGGTTCGGTGCTGTTGCAGAGCGAGAACCTTTCACTGACAGGTATGTTTTTTACTTTTGCAGGATTCGTATGCTGATCGATGAAGGCTATGAAGACAGAATTCTGATCGCTCATGACGTGCACACTAAGAATAGGTTGATGAAATATGGAGGTCATGGATATTCACATATCCTTAAAAATATAGTTCCTAAAATGCTGATTAGAGGCATATCTCAAAATAAAATTGATAAAATACTCCAAGCAAATCCAAAGCGGTGGTTGACTTTTAAATAGGAATAATGGATAAATGTTCCTATTTTGTAGGGAAGCTTGATAAAATTCAGATTTGTTTAAGGAAAGCACCCATTTTAAAACTTAGTTCTTTTCAGAGAATCTAGAAGTTTTTAATTATATGTGAACAAACTGATTATGACTTTTATTTTTAATTAGAACAGCAAAATTTTGTATTCTGTCTGCATTTTCTCCCTTCTAGAAGTCTATTCATGAATGATTTACTGGATATGAACCTACCTACAAAATCTTTTCAATTGAAATTTTAAAATAACTGTTTCTAGCGATTAATCTAATACTATTGTTGAAAGTTACCAAAAAAGTATTTTTGAAGATGCATCGTCTGGACTTTGAAGGAAATTACAGTTTTCAATTAAATTCCGCTGGTGAATTCCAGGGGGTGATTTTAATCCTTATAATATCAAAATTTTTCTAATTAGCCTTATATTCTTTAACTACTGCTTGCTAAAAGGTCTGGGACTTTTAAATAGCTTCCATGGACAACAGAAGGCAAAAAAAATATCAAATAATTCTAAAAAGATATCGTTTCTTGCTAGTTTAATAATGTACTTATTTTTAAATGAAAATGTAAAAAATACATGGAAAAATACATTTTTGAATAAAGCAATTTGATGACCTCTTAAACTATGTGCAGTATTATTACAGATGTCTTTTTTTAACCGCATTAATTTTTTGTCCTGAACCTTTGGAATCCCACAGCACTCATGAAATTTCATGGAGACCAGCTTCTTTTTGTAAGGATGCAACACCAAAAGTCAAAATATATTACATAATACAGTTTTAATGAGTTGCAATAGTTATAACAAAGGGTGTGATATAAGTCTTTACAAATCAGTATATCAAGATATGATGAAAAGGAAGAAATGTTTGCCTTATATGTGTTTTTCACATAAAGTGTGTTCTTTGCTCTTGTCTAACTTTAACCAGGGCAGGTGATTTATCCAAAAAATGGTCTTATCCAGTAGCAGCAGTAGCTTGATTTCAAAAGCTCCTTCAAATTTGACCATATGTGTCTTGTAGTATTGAGCTTTTCCAATAAATACCTTAGTAAATATGCATTGCTAAGTTGTAACAGATCTCTAGTGTGATACGTCACTGTTTGATACGACCTCGAAAATCTCTAGCTACACTGCTGTTGTGAGTGCGCTAACCAATAAGAGCGACAGTGGAACGAACAGACATGAAGTCAGTTACACATCTGTTATTAAAATACATTGCCTCGTAGAAAAAAAACAGGCGTAATCACTACAATGTACGGATATAGGTTGGCACTTTGTCATAAAGTAAAAGCGTTAACCATTCTGGTGAGATAATACACAAGCAACTGGCAGCACTATGTCCCTTTATGAATCCTACATGAGTTAGACTGGTGATCCTCTCGGTCAGCCTAGACTAACTCGGCATTTATTTTGAACTGGACGACTCAAAACAGAAACAGAAAGAGTAAGACGTTCTGTTTAAGAAAAGCTTCAGGAGATTTTTAGAGAGATTTGTAAAATCTTCATCAGACTTTTACTGAGCGGCCAGCACTGAAGGGCTTTCTTGTCACAGTGGCAGACGCTTTCAGCATTTTAGTGCAGATAAATCTGAGTTTGTACCCTTAGTCCATTAGACAAGGTTGCATGTGGCAAATCACATGAAATAGAAATGCTAGTGCTATTTAACAATTTATAGAAATGTTACCTTGATTTTGCCAAAATGTTAAGAATAAATAACATAATCAATTGTGCTAAGGAGCTAGTTAATCATTTTGCTAAAATTTAGGTTTAGAATGAAATCTGCAAGTTTTAACCTGAGAGAAACAGACAGCTTCCCCTCCCAAAACCAAAACAAATAATAAATCCATATTCCGAATAAAAATGTTCTGTGGACATTACTGGTATGACTGATCTTAAAGCATTTTTATAACTATGTAACTCATAGTACCTGTGTTTAGTTTAATTCTCCAAGCCATTAATCCTTTATATGGATTAAACTTCTTTGAGACTTTATATATATATCTATATATATATGAATGAGAAAAATAGGTTTTAATACACACTTTTTTTGCATGTAAATATCTGCTTCTTTCTTTGCATAAGTGTTATCATTTTTGGTAATATGCTTATCTGTATCCATTTCATAGGCACGCCTTACTACAAACTGGTATCTAGCTACCATGGGAAAGGTCTGTGTGACAACACTTTCTCATGTGTCAGATCTCCCACGCTTCCTTTGTGGGATTGATCCCACTAACTGCAGTGAGACAAGACACCTAAGACAAATAAGGTTCTGACCCATTATATTCCTACAAAATTCTAGTTGAACATCTGCAGTATGTTAAGTCATAACTATTTTCTTAAAAATAGTACCCAAGTACAGACTAAGTGCTAAAAGACTAATGAAGACTAATTGCTGCAAAGAAAACACTCTACCTTAGTCTGAGAATGTAGATGCCAGGCTTGCTAAATATTTACACAACTAACCATCAAGAATGGGCCTGTAATATTGTCTAAATATATATTTACACATGTTTACAGATTAAAAGCCAAATCCTTTTTCCACTAACATCAATGGGAGTTTTGCCATTGGCTTCGGTGGAATAAGGGATTTGATCCAATAGAATAGTTTGTCGACCGTTATATTTTCCAGAAAAAAAAAAAAAAGGTGTTTCTTCTATCCTTTTTCTTTTAGAACGCAGCTAAGGGGAAGACAAAATTTAAACAACTCCACTGGCTTGATTTTATGCTAAAAGTCTAATGTAAACCTACAAAGCAGGAACATTGAGTTAAGGCTTGAAGCTGATTAGTTTCTAGTTTTAAGTGGAAGGATAAGAAAAGTACAAGGCAAACAATTCCTTTGGAGAGAGAAAGTATATTTTGATTACCTCTTCCTTTTATTGTAAAATCATTCCTCACCACACTATGAGTGGACTCCAAGCATCATTGTTAGCAAGTAAGTCACAAGAACCAAAGCTGAAGTATGGATAAAGCAGCAAGATCATAACACATCAAAGTATCATACACTGAAGAAATAACTCGGCGTCCTTAGGTGTGGGGTTTTTTTCTATAAAAATTTGATCTATGTAGGACTTCATTCACATGGACACTAACAACGAGGAAGTATTTGCTTTGGCGGTAGTGGATCGCACATCTGTTTAACTTTTGTAATTTTTTAACATAAGGTTTCTCTGTGTTGTACAGATGTGAATCAGGTAGCATTCGACTTTTTTTTCCCCGCTACTGAGGTGTTCGGTGGTCGCTCTCTGCTGGGGTGCTTGTTTCATTGACTTTTGCCACGCAAATCCATTGCTTAGAAGAGCAAGCTTCATTTTTGGACTGGTTTGGTGGGTCTTTTTACTCATTATCAGTCAGCATAAATAATAAATCCAGAAAATGTGCTGTATTTGTTGTTGTTTCCTCCATGTGCTTTTCCTCCATCTAATTTAATGTAAACTTCGTCTCCTGGCTCCAAGTGAAGAACCACGCTGTTACTGGCATAGTCGTAGTTCTGATCCGCATCCTGAGCAATCGCACTAGCTCGAACCTACATAAAATACATAATGAGTGGTTAAGAAAACTCAGATTAGTTTTCCTGCATGGTGAAATTAAAGCATATCCTCAGCGTTTTATTCAGCATGCGTAAGTGGCCACTTTAAATGTCTGGCAACATACATTGTAGTTTTTCCTATGGTTCTTGCTTCTTTTCTCCTACAACTCAACATTTGAAACTAAAGCAATAAGCTGCTCCTTTCTCAGTCATCTGATTAATACACAACTGTTTGCGCTCCTGTAAGTGTTTGGAGCCTTTCAAAATATATGCATAACAAAAGCTGGAGTTTGGAGAACTGAACCTGGTCGTGTGCCAGTTCTACATTGGTGTAACTTTTATGTCAGCGGAACATTTGATTGACATTGGTGAGGATCCACAGTGAGGCCCTATTGATACCAGGCTGGACTTTTTTCACAGGTGATTTATTGTCATACTACTAACAGGATTGTGCTGCAAAAAGAATACGAAAAGTACTCACCCACCCACCCACCCACATGCACAGGCGCAGGTAAGGATCCTAGTCAGGATCAAACTGTTATTGCCACATTTCAGTAAGCAAACATTTAATTCCTCTGTGTTGTAAGAGATGCACATTTGAAAAATCACAGGCAAACCACTATTTGCTTTAAGAATTTACAAGTCATTGAGGACTTTTCATTTGCATCTTTCACTTAAACATGCGTTTTTTCCCATTTTTCCCTTGCTATTCCACTAATGATTAAATTTGGCATTACTAGTAAACTGTAATTTTAGTCTGTAATTTTAAGATGTACGTTGGTTTCCAGCAATGAATAGTCTGTGGCATTGCAAGTCTCCAAATCATTTATATATAATTTGACCCTGTTTGGTAAAATATTTAAACTTAGTTGTATGTGATTTATTTCAGTGTAACACATCATCTGCTTGTTGCTTGTCTTTGTTCTAGCATAGTTACAGAGCAGTAAGTGATTTAATGGTATTGCAAACCTGAACTAAGTAATAATGCATGACTTGGCGTACTATATGTGGGATTTTATCTGTTCAGAATTGAAAAAATAGGCTATAAGTCACAATTTTCCATGGATTCCTTTCAAAGTTTAAATGATAAATTTCCAAATTAAATTTTCATGTGATACGATTTCACATTAATATTGAAATGTTAAAAAGGAGACGGGTTCTTTTACCATGCAGGATCTTACAGCATTATGCAGCTTAAAAATCACAGTAGGCGGAAATTCTTTATACATCCTGCAAGGAGAGTGAGAAAGGCTTAAAAGGCTTGCAGTGGTGTGACAGTCTGCAAATTTAAACTGATACATGGCATGATGATAAACTCCAACTGTTTCAGGACTTCTTGATCCTGAATTGCCTGGTATTGTTTACAGAGGCAACCTATTTTACTAGTGTTTAAGCAATAATTATTCTAAACACTGGGTATTTCCTCTGGATTAATGACTGGCAGGGTGGGCTTGAAGGCTCTGGGCCATTAACCCTGGAAATACCCTCCGAAGCAAATGATGGGCTGCGACTGTTGCTGGTAGTGCAAATGGAAAGGAAGGAAAAGGCTATAGACGAGGTGGAAAAACTTCAACAGAGAACTAGTATCTTGCATACTGGCAAACAAAATGGTTTAAATTACTTTCCAAATTTCCATTTACATCATAATGAAATGCTACTTAGTGGATTTGTCTAACGTGTTTCTGTGGATAGTAAAGGAGAATTCGAATTGTATTAGTGACTATCCTAAGGGAGTCAGCATAGGGACACTGACTACAACAGCAATGAATATTTCGTTTTTAAGCTTCTACATAGTACATAATGACTAAAGAGAAAAAAGATGCTGGGTATTGAAAATCAAGAAACCAAAGTGTAGGTCTTACTGCCTATGTATAGCAACAAATGTCCTGTAAACTCTGGTGTGCTGTTCTTGAGAGGTTTTACCTCCTTGTTTGGTTAGCTAGAGCAATTTCTTTTTAAAGCCTGGGAGAACAGTCTCAAATGAATTCTCAGTGTACTGCTGCAAGAAGGTAAATGTATCTCAAAATGAAACCATTAACGGACTATACATTTCCTAAGTTGTATGAGTGCTCACCTCATCTTTCATGAAGTTACGCTCTCAGGTTGCACACACATACTAGCTAAGCTATGTGATCTCAGCACTTCCCTGTTCAAGCTTTATAACCATTAAAGAAAGCAATGTGTTAACAGTGGAGACCTTGAGATTCCTCCTGTGCATTGCTTAGGAATGATTTTTTTCTGTAAGTCATACACTTTCCAACCATTTGGGTTTTTTCATTGTGAGAAAACACTGAGTTTGTAATGTTTTCTTTGCCAGACTCCATTTAAAGACTCATTTCCAAAATTTCTGAACTTTCTTACAAATAATACACAAGCTAATCAGTGTCATATCACATCAGCGTTTAGTGTTTCAAGTATAAATCATAATCAAAAGAAGACACTGCTGCATTAAAACTGTGCATCAATTTAAAATAGTTTGTATGCAGATATTTACCTAAATACTTATCTTTGCATAGATATATACAAATATACACAGAGAACCCCTGCCCCCCTTTTTTTTTCTTCGTTAAATCACTGCAACTTTAATTTGTCTCATGTCTGGTACCGGAAGTAGCTATATTGGGGAACAGTTAGACTTCAGGCTCAATTTAATATTTATAATTGGTTACTTTTTTAAAACTACTGGTATGTATTTATTTTTCGGGTTTGGGGAAAATAAAGACTTTAAAACATTATAAATAGGGGTCAAAAATAGATTAGCGTTTTAATTGCAAGCAAAATGATATTCTCATGGTGGACAATATTGCCTTTGCGTGAAGAAATCAAAGTGAATATATTACGATGTACTTTGTTTTATTAGTCCCGGTTTATCTGCTGAGATAGTTAGTATTTACGGTAGATATTTTCTCATTTAATTAATCGCTGCTGATGTCCCCATTATTCTGTTTTCACAGTACTTCTGAGGAGCCATAAACAAAAGGTTAAGTGGCATATCAGGTTAATTTACTGGCGGCCGGTGCTGCCGTCTGCGCAGAGCACCGGGGGCCCTGGAGCGGCTCCCGGC